TTCCAGCCCTTCTGTACATGGACGTATGGCTGGTTCCAGCCCTTCTGTACATGAGCATATCACTGGTTTCTGTAGATGGGTGTATGTTCCACCCCTTGCTTTTATGAATAGTGCAGCCATAAGCATGAAGTGCAGGTATCTCTGTGGCAGGAAATAAAACTCTGCTCATTTTAAATGAGTTCCCTAGATGTAAGAGAGAAGCAAAGCTAACCTTACACATTAGCCAGGGCCACCCTCACCTTGAATAGCCAGCTGCCCCTAACTGGTATTTGCTCTTAAACGGAATTACAAGCTTACTCACTTAATTCTGAACATTTTTATATTCAGAAGTTTCTTTTGCAATGAAATCGGCCTTGTTTACACACCATGCATGTGGAAAATGGCTGTAGCACAGAGCTGTGGGGCTGTGAGAAGAAATGCCCCAGGTGTCCTTTAAAAACTGTGTGGCGGTGCTGGGGGGGATGGCTCAGCAGGTAAGACACAGTGTGTGGCTGAGGATGTGACTGATTTCAGATCCCCAAAGCCACATAAAAGCCAGATGGGTATGGAAGTCCTCTTGTAAACCTGGTGTGAGGGAGGTGGAGATGGGGACTCTCTGAAGCAGCTGACCAGCCACACTAAGTGAGACAGAGTTCTGGGTTCTGTGGGAGACCTTGCTTCCATATGTGAGACAGGGAATAATCAAAGAAAAGCACGACAGTGTCCTCAGACTTCCACATGAACATGCACACATGTATCTATAAACACATGTGCATATATATGCAAATATATCCATATATTATACACACATATAAATAAATATTACTTTTTGGTTTATTTTTACAGCAAACCCAAGGAGCCTGTATTCAGTCCAGGTAAGCTCTGGTCTCATTCTCGGATTCGGGGAGAGGGGGTGTATAATTTAGACCTTTGACTGAGTGGTAAACAGAAAATGGGCACCTCAGAGCCAGGCCACTGGTACTCAGAAAACAGATCTGGTGCTTGTGAGTGTCAGCTCAGATAACAGCAGGGTGGCCAGTAAACAGGCAACAGAAATAGTGACTAGACCCCTACCTGCCCCTTGTCAGACCCACAGGGAAGTCAGTGAGGATTAGAGCAGGAACTTCTCAATAAAGATGCCCTTTGCCCTTTGCCCTTTGTCCTTTCCTCTTTGCCCTTTGCGTCTACCCTGCTCCACAGACTTCTCCTGCGCTTCTCCCTAAGAGAAAGTCTTCCCTCCGTAAAGCTGTTCTCCCCTGTTCAAAATACTTGCTCCCCTTCTGCCTCTAATTTCCTAAATGGCAAGCCAGTAGTACTTCATAAATGGCTGTCTTTAAATCACACTTTATAAGAAAGCAGATACTACGTTCTCTCTTTCTCTCTTTTAGCATATTAACCGTATTTTAAGATATAGCTAAACATGGAAAAAGTTACAAATATGTACTTAAATAAATTCATCTGATTTTAGTTTTCTCAGCTTTTCTCCCTTCCACACAAAATAAAGATTAGTCCCCGAAAAATGTAATTACCACAAACCCACAGGCGTGGGTTACATGTCAGGATACATGCAATGTCCCTTTGTTCCCTTGTCCTCTTGGGGGGCCTCTCGAGGGCCAGGGTGGCACCAGCCTGTGGCTGGCCAGTGAGCACCCCAGCAGGCAGGCCAGCCACACTTGTGGTACCGCCATCTCTTCGTTTAGCCCTTCAGTCTCCGAAACCCCAAGGGAAGCGCCGGGTGACACACTGCAAAGGTAGGGAAGGCTTCCCAGCCCACAGCTCCCTGCACACGGCTGCTGCCCCAGCCCAGAGCCTGTTTTCATACTGGCAGAGCCCTCCACGCATGATGGCGGTTCCGTTATCTGTCCTAAGTTCAATGCACCCCTGAGTGTTCACTTGGATGGGCTTCAACCTGCGGCTGTGATTTGGATTGTCATTCATCATTGGCTGATTGTAGGAGATCCGGAAGGATCTGGAGAGAGATCTCAGGCAGCCCCCTGAGTGTCCCCTGTTTGGCATGAAGCCCCGCACCGCTGACCTCTCCCCACAAGTACACACCTCTGGGTTTGGTGATTGTGTGCTGTGCTCCTAACGTGTCTGCAAACAGCATTGCTTTCCTGTGTTGTACTGATTGTAGACGTAGGCCGTCCCCGTTTAGAGTACACAACGGCACATAGTTAAATATTGTTTTGTCTAGGTCAGCAGTGTTTAATGGTGAAGTAAGGAAGACTCAGTGATAGGCATTCTTCACTGGACAGTAACCATCACATGACCTCAACAGACTGTACACATGCACCCTTGGCACCCATGGCGGGCTCTCTAGCTCTCCAGGTTTCAGAAATGCCTTTGTATGGGCGTTAGTCCTAGCTCGCTGGCTGGGTTGATCCACGCCTTACAGAGTTAGCCGAGTGACTTTCCATTTCACTTTGAACGACACCATTCCTGCTTCCCTCTGCTCTAAGGTGGGGCAGGTGGATGCTTTTTTAAGTCTACATTTGTGATCACCAAGAGATGAGCCGCAACTTGGGTGAGAGGGTTAAAGTAGGCAAGAAGAGAAGAAGAGGGAAGAGCTAGAGGTGAGGCGAGGCTCAGGGAAGACAGCTCATGGGGTGCTGAGACACTTCTGGCCCGAGAGGAGAATCCTCGTGGAGTGGATTATAGAAGGTGAGGTCAGATAAAGAGAGCCTGACACGGTCATTTGTACTGCTAGACATAGTGATAAGCAAAGGACCAGGATGGATGAAGAATCAGATGAAGTGCACCCGAGGCTCTCTGGCATTGACAGGAATATGTAAGGTGACTTGGAGGGGGTGGGGGAGCTTTAAGAGAACCTATGGTGATGGCAATCTTGGGTGAGCCAATCAGGATACAGCCAGGGATGATGGTGTCCACACAGGGGACATCCCAACCATCACAGGGGCAGTGGCTGGACCAGTGTGCGTGGGAATGAGCACACTCGTGGCTCTTACCTAAAGGGTCAAGCTTCATTAAACCCCGAGTGAAGAGTGTCACGTGCGTTGAGATCTGAAGTGCATGCTTGTGGTGACATAATTGCATGCGTTGTGTGACAGTCCTCAGGCACTGAAGCACGGGGATTCTCCCAATTTATCCTGTTCTCTCTGAGGTGATTTTCTGTGGGGTTTTTGGCACAGGTCTCGCTGGTTGCCCCTGTCTGGGTTAGATACCATTGATTCTGGATTCTCCAGTCTGCAAGAGCATCAGAATGGAGGCTCTGACTCCAAACTCGTCAGGAGACAGTTTCTTGCTCATTTTATAGCCTTAAAACGGTAGTCAGAATACCCCAAGTGGGTTGGGTTTTGGGGAAGTGTGGGGGACACAGAAGTTGCCTCAGATCAACATTTTCTTTTAATTTTGGCCCTTTATTTGCTTGTATTCATTTATTGGATACCAACATTATTTTAGGGGCCTAGAGAGATGGTACGGCAGTGAAGAGAACTTGTTGCTCTCACAAAGGACCCAGGTTCAGTCCCCAGCACCAACAAGACTGCTCACAACTGCTTGTAACTTCAGTCCCAGGGTATCTGATGCCCTCTTCTGGCATGCATGTGATACATATAGTCATATTTATAAACATAATAAATCTTCCAATTAAAAAATAAAGTTATTTTAATAGAAATAGTCAGTCTAGAAAACTCTGCCTCCCTGTCTCTCCCCAACTCTCTCAGCTGGATCTTCTTCTTTCTCTTCCTCCTCCTCTTCTTCTTCCTCCTCCTCTTCTTTTTCTCCTCTTCCTCCCCTCCTTCTCTTCCTCCTTCTTTTCCTTCTCCTCTTCCTCCTCCTCTTTCTTCTTTCATTTTTCATTTTAAGCTTCTATTGAAGCATTTTATTTTTAAATTTTTAAACAGTTCACTTTTAAGATTTATTTACTTAGCTGAGCAGTGGTGGCCCATGCATTTAATCCCAGCACTAGAGAGGTGGAGGCAAACGGATCTCTAAGTTTGGGCCCAGCCTGGTCTATAGAGTGAGTTCCAGGATAGCCTGGACTACACAGAGAAACTCACACACAAAAAAAAATACAAAAAATATTATTTAGCTTTCTTTTTATTGCATGCACTCCTGCTGACTTAGCATTCTTTGTATTTGCAAGAGCTGTGCAGTACAAAAAAAAAACATGGAATTATATTTTACACTCATATAACAAATCAATTCAAATATTAAAGGATATTTTTTGATATTGAGATTGTATATACTGATGTATAATACTGAGTCGGGCTCAGTCATAAAGTGAGATTCTTGATTACTTGTGATTCTCCGTGGTACATTCTCTTCTGATGAGAACATGCCTTCACCGAGATGTCACAGGAAATGACTGTTGGACTCTCACTCAGACTTTTTACAAATTCTTATGGATGATCTGAACTTGAGTGAGAAGCTCAAAAATAACAACCGCACAAACTTTTGTCTCAAGATATTTAATTTTGCATTAGACTTTTAATTTAATTTTTATTTACATATGTAGGTATCTCTGTGCACATGCATCCAAATACCCGAGGAGGCCACAGGAGGGCAGCAGATCTCTTAGAGTGTTGTGAGCCATCTGACGTGGGTGCTGAAAACCCAACCTGGGTCCTCTGGAAAAGCAGCTTGTGCTCCTAACCACTGAGCCATCTCTCCAGCCCCTGTGTGTTGGGTTTTGTTTCCTCTGGAAAACTAATTGAGAAGGACATGGCAGTGGGGGTGGGGTAGAGGGACCAGAGAGATGGCTTAGCAGGTAACGCTGCATACCCAAACATGACTGAGTGAGTTTGATTCCGAGTCTTATGGGGTGGAAGCAGAGAACCAACTCCCAAAAGTCATTCTTTGACCATCACAAGTGCCACGTGACTCCTGTATCAATCAACACATTAAATAAGTAAATGCATTTTTTTAAAAAAAAAAATCTTTTAAGACATGCAAGGGAGACAGCCACTTGTGTGCCAACAGGCTAACCAGACTGTGGTGTTTGCTTTTAGAGTGTCATGTCACTAACGCCTTCATTGTTTTTGTAGAAGAGGGATATGTAAAAATGTTTCTTCGAGGCCGGCCCGTCACCATGTACATGCCCAAAGACCAAGTGGACTCTTACAGTTTGGAAGCAAAAGCTGAATTACCAGCAAAGCGCCTGAAACTGGAGTGGGTGTATCCTTTACTCGCTGACCAGATTGTCGGTGATGACTGACTTCTGGCAAAAGATTTATAAAAGTTAAATATTTTACTATTAGCTTTTTCAAAAAAAAATCAAAATTTCAAATGTGACCGTGTAGGAGAGGCAGTTTTGGAGCAAGTTCTTATGACTGTGGCTCACGTTCCAGTGGATACACACTGTCTTCCCGAAAGGAGGCCATGGAAGTAAACACAGTACAGATGGAGGCTTTCGGGGTCAGAGGAACATGAGTGAATGGCCTGCCTGTCACAGAGAAGCAGCAAGCTTAGTGAAAGTAATCAAAACTGGTGTCTAAGTCAGGGTTTGTATCCCTGCACAAAACATCATGACCAAGAAGCAAGTCGGGGAGGAAAGGGTTTATTCAGCTTACACTTCCACATTGTCATTCATCACCAAAGGAAGTCAGGACAGGAACTCAAGCAGGTCAGGAAGCAAGAGCTGATGCAGAGGCCATGGAGGGATGCTACTTACTAGCTTGCTTCCCCTGGCTTGCTCAGCTTGCTTTGTTATAGAAACCACAACTATCAGCCCAGGGATGGCCCCACCCACAATGGGCCCTCCCACCCTTGATCACTAATTGAGAAAACGCCTTACAGCTGGGTCTCACGGAGGCATTTCCTCAAGGGAGGCTCCTTTCTCTGTGGTAACTCCAGCTTGTGTCAAGTTGACACACAAAACCAGGCAGTACAATTGGGTAAACATCAGGTCTTTAATGATTATAACTTCAATGATCAGTCTCCGCCGTCCAATGCCCTGTACTCATTCCCACCATGGAGGGAGGCTGCAGCAGCCTTTCCGACTACAAAGGCTCTACACCAAATTTATAGTGATTGTCTGCTGCTCGATGACTAATGTTAAGCTCCGAAGACAATTCCGACATGTTGATTTAAGTTGGTGCTGCCGAGCCTTCATTGGCAAGAATTAGTATTTGAGATTATAGAGTCCTATTCATGGAAATCAAAAGATTAAAAGTTGTTTGGCCATCCGTTTTAGCACAGGCCATGGAAGGGATCTGCCCCTTCTTTAAATTGAGTAGTTTTTAAAATCTATTCTGGAAAACGTTATTCAAAGAATGCTTCCTTATTTGTGTTTCAAAAGACGTGAAACAAGAAAATTTGCTCCAAATAAATGTTATTTTGGCCAGGTCACTTCTTTTACACTCAAGTTCAAGTGATGCTTTGCTTTTTAAAGTACACGTGTTAAAATTTTAACACTAGGTCAGTGAGAAGGCTCAGTGGCCAAAGGTACCTGTTACCAAGCCTGAAGCCCTGAGTTCAGTACCCGGGACCCGCTTGATGGAAGGAGAGAACCAAATCCCAGAAATCTATCTTCTGACCTCCACTTGAACATATGACACCTGTGCCTATAATAAAATTTATAAACACTGATAGTTATCCCTAAAATGCTGGTGCACTGTTAGTTAATTCATTAACTTAGTTAACAATGAAAGGTTAATTAATTTTGAAACCTTTGTTACATTCGAGTGATATTTGTATTCTGTATAAGTACCTGTATCATTTTAAAGTAATGTTTAAACAAAAGATTCAGCTCCCAGATTGCGGACAGCAAAAGCAGCCTCATATTTGGCTCGATAGCTTCTAAAAATCAAACAAGTCTTCATGCTGTAAAAAAAAATAATAACGTGTTCACACCAGACATGCTGTATAGCCAGACATGTCTATAGTTCCAGAGAAAGGAAGTCTGAGGCAGGAAGATCTGATCTGAAGCCAGCCTGGGCTATACAATGATCACCTGTCTCAAGCACAGTGGTAGAGCACTTGCCGAGCACAGGAAAAGCCCTAGGTTCGATCCCCAGTACTGTAAAATGTTGTTTATATTATTCCTGAGCACTTAGAATTTGATTTTAGATATGTAGGTACTGAGGTCTATTAGGCAGAGGGTCAGAGTGTATTACATGTTGTTGTTTGTTTGTTCGAGACAGAGTTTCTCTCACCGTGCAGCCCTAGCTAGCCTGGAGCTCAGAGAGATCCGTTTAGGATTAAAAGCACACACCACCGCACCCAGCACGTTTTCAGTTCAGCGTTGTCTAAATTGGTTAAACTGATAGGAACCATTGCACAGTGCTTATGTGCCTGTTGAGTGATGCGGTGGCTCTCCAGCTCTTAAAACCAAAGGATTTTCATCTTGACATACACTAAGCTACGGGTACCGGGGGCGAGACTGTCGCAATAACTTGTACTTGCTCCCGACCGGGGAGACCGTGTACTTCATTGCGTCTGTCGTGGTGCTTTATAACGTGGAGGAACAGCTGCAGAGGCATTACGTGGGCCACAATGACGACGTCAAGTGGTGAGTCCCCACAAACTGGTCGGCACGTCATAGGGTGAGCTAGCCTTAGCCAAAAGAATCCAGCATCAGGACACAAGCCAGGGGGTGAGACGGAGCAGGGCTCAGAAGCCAGACGGGGCAAAGCTCTTCTTTCTATTCCCCTCGTTGTCTTTGGGCTCCCTAATTCTGCACCCCGATTCATGGCAGCTTTCGGTCCTTACTGTACTTTTGTGTCACCAGATTATCTGAGGGGAAAAAAGCTTCAGGAAGCTTTCTTAAAATCCCAAATGTTAAAGACTTCAAATTGTGTCTTTAATTTTAGAAAAAGTGCTTTGTTGCATACTTAAGTCTGAGTCTGCTATGCCTATGGGTCATCGTATAGCTTAGGGAAGACCTTGCAGGGATTGGCTGGGTAGATGGATTTGTGGTCATCTGGATCCCTGGCTAGTGATTAAAAACCTATTGACGTAAGATGAGACATCTTTCCTAATTAACATACCCAAAAGTGACTTGTAAGAAGGGATGTTGACTAAGTCAGTGGTTCTGAGATGGAAATCGTATTTTCCCAACAAAGGATGCCTTTCCTTAAGGTTGGAAGTTCCCGAGAAGAATTCAGGGAATCTGATAAATGAAATAGTATTTGCTGGCTAAGGCAGTTGGGCTGTTCGGGGAATTTTAAGAAGCTAGGCAGTATGGATTTCTTGTGTTTAAACTTTTGGAAGATTGTAGAAGTAAAGCCCACCTTTGTGTGGGGTTGTCTGATAATTATCCTTCTTGTAGCCTAGCAGTCCATCCTGACAGGATCACCATAGCAACGGGACAAGTGGCGGGCACATCTAAGGATGGAAAGGTGAGGTTTTCTCATTGTCTTTCTGACTTTGGGAGGAAACTGGCAACAACCTCCTGATTTGCACATTGCTGATAATGAGTCTGCCTGGTCATTGTAGTTGCAGCATCTGAGAACTATTGGGTCCTCACCAGGAGCTCTCAGTACAAACTACATGTGCCATCATGACCCTAAGTATCCCCCAAGCCCCTGAACCTCCCTTCATTTCAGCCAGTTTTTAAACGGCATTGTCACTGGTTGGGACGGCATACATCTTTCAGCTCAGGAAGCAGAGGCAGGTGGGTCTGTGGCTATGTAACAAGACACTGTCGTGAAAAACAACAATCAGCAGCCACAACACATTAAAATGGTGTTGCCATGCCAAAGAGTCAATTCATTCCTGAAATCTTTATCTCCATATATGATCAACATGAAAATATATCAATCTAAGACGAAGCGCTAAAATCACCAAGTAACCATAGGTTACGGGACGTCCTTGACTATGGGTGCTGGCCAGTCACTCCTTCAGTGGGTGGATTTCATGCCTTGTGCTGATCACAGAGGCTCCTGGGAATTTCGGGCAAACTCTATAGGTGCCTTAGCAAGACTTCAGTCTGGCTGGTAAGGAAGGAGACGAGGAACTGGTGCAGCCGGACAAATAGGAGACCTCCAAGCTGGCATCCACGAGTGACTGTCATGTTTTATCAAAAACACTCACAGCCTCTTAAGTCTCTGTTTGTACAGCTTTGTCCTGGTGTGAAGGTAATCACGACAGGAATCTCCATTTTTATCAGTGTGTATCTGCCCAGAAAACACAGGCGTTATCTATCTTATCTGAGCAGATGTTTTCATGATAGCAAATTTTAGCCCCCGATTTTATGCTGTTCTCCATTATCGTTCCACACTTGCAAAGAGCGAAATAACAGAAGCCAGGCTACTGTTATGTAAACTCACATAAGGAGCAGTTGTTCATGTTTTTAAAAAGAACGAAAGGCCTGGAAGAACTCTGAAATGAGAAGCAAACTGTTTCCCTCCGCCCTCTAGCGGCACGAAAGTGTATTTCCTTTTTTGGGGGGCTGGGGGGGGGGGAAGCATTGAACCAGAGAGAAATTTACAGCTGTCTGAGCAGATTTTTGACCAGTGAAGAAACTCAGAGAGGCCACACGCTGGTGGTGCCTGGCTATTTGGAGACAAGGCTAAACGAGAACAAGGTTTGCCTAGCCTGTCCCTGCTCGCCGGGCACGTGTCCAGGGTCTTTTCATGATGATGGATCTGCTGACTGCACTATGGTGCTATCTTTGGTGAAATGTCATTTCTAAAATTTAGAGAAATGCAAATACACAAAAGGCGTGTCCGTTCCTCTGGTATGGGTATTGAAGAGTGGCTAGTCAAAGTTTAAAACCTGCTAGCCTTCTCCGGACGCCTCAATGGTTCAGAGTGCCCAGGGCCTCCTGAAATCACTAGGAATGTTTTCATTACACTCATGGTTGGGGTCCTCAAATGTAGAAAAGACTTTTTGTTTGACAAAATCGAAGTCAAAATGACTTTACGGTTCCAAGGTGAAGAGAAGCGGTTAGCCGACAGTCACAAATGATGGCCGTATTCTTTCCAAACAGCAACTGCCGCCACATGTGCGCATCTGGGACTCTGTGACACTGAACACTCTGCATGTCATCGGAATCGGCTTTTTTGACCGGGCTGTCACCTGCATCGCATTCTCAAAATCTGTAAGTCCGAGAATGTTCAGGGACTCATTCCCAAGCAAACATTTCTAGCCACCTGACCTCCAGCCTTTCTCAAGGCTTGCTAGCCCACACACCCATCCCCAAACCCCTTCACCTGGAGACTTATTCACACTCGCTCATCCGTCCACGTACGTGTTCACATCAAACACTCCTGTTTGTTCACTACCCTTGTGCTTTGCTCTGCATGTAATCCTAAAGGAGCCATGTGCCTGGCCAGGAAAGCCAGCCTCAAAACCAGTGACGTGTACGTTCCTCACCTCCGATATAATGGACCTTTGATATGTGTTGGGAGTGGGACGTGTGTGCAGGTGCACATGGTGGGGGTGAGCATACATGTGTGTTCATGCAGAGGCCGCAGTCAACCTCCCCTGCCTCTGCCTCCCCATTGTTGCTATTATGGGTGCATGCTACCACAAGCCAGCTGCAGGTCCTGGGGATCGAACTTGGGTCCTCACACTTGCCCAGCAAGCTCTTTACCCAATGCTGTAACAAGCTCTTCATTAAAAGTAAAATAATCAGGGCTGGAGAGATGGTTCAGTGGTTAAGAATACTGACCTTCCAGAGGACCTGAGTTCAATTCCCAGCACCCATGTGGCAGCTCACAACTGTCTGTAACTCTAGTTTCAGGGGATCTGACACTTTCATACAGAAATATATGCAGGCAACACCAATGCATATTTTTTTTTAAAGTAAAATAATCGCCAGGCGGTGGTGGTGCATACCTTTAATCCCAGCACTGGGGAGGCAGAGGCAGGCAGATCTCTGTGAGTCTGAGGCCAGCCTGGTCTACAGAGCTAGTTCTAGGACAGCCAGGGCTACTTTCACAAAGAAACCCTGTCTCAGAACAAAACAAAAAGTAAAATCAATGATCATTTTTAATCACATTGGCTCCACCTCGGACTCACGTGCTGTCTTCCTTTGAATCACGTTTTCTTGGCAGAACGGAGGAAGTCATCTCTGTGCTGTGGATGACTCCAATGACCACGTGCTGTCCGTGTGGGACTGGCAGAAAGAAGAGAGATTGGCCGACGTGAAGGTTCGCTCAGCCACTCACTGCGGTGTCCCACAGGGCACACTGCCTCCGTGACCAGCAGGCTCCAGGGTCGCCCACAGTCCCTACCCCCGGGAATAAGCCTTCCTTTCAGATCTCCCTTCTATCTCTCTTCCTTCATGAGACCCTGCCTAAGGCCTGCCTGGGTATTTCCTGACTATCAGAGTCTGTGGAATTCTCTGCTTTTTCTCATTTCATAGTGACAACCCTAATTTTAATTCATTCAGTCACTTCTTCACCCACTTTCATTCATACAACAAACCCAGGTGCCCTCTACATGCTGGGCTGTCACCCATAAGCTGGAGGTGGCCAATGGCTGAGGCATGCTCAGTACCTGCCAGTCTCTGGGGCTGCAGGAGACATGGATGCCAGCGCCCCTGAGGTCGGCACTCTGCCTCAAATCAACTATGTGCAGAACGTTGAGTTGACACTCCTGGAGCTAGCTCTCTTAAGGTTCCCTTCTGTCAGGAGCACTCCTGGATTCCTATTTTCATAGCTTGTATTTCCCATTTCTCCTCTTGGCATCTGTGAGCCTTGGTTAACCCGACCTAGGTAACCCAAGGGGAACCACCAGCAAGCTTTCCTTGGATAATATTAGGCTTACTCAGACAGCCTTATTACCTTACGGGAGCTTGCCCTCAGACAGCCTTAGCTACCCTGCTTTCTGTCTAGTGTCTGGGATGCAGGCAGGTGTTCTAATAAGATGTGTCTCCTGGCCTGACATTCCCTGTCTTCTAACATTGCCAGCAGAGATGTATGGTGTTCACCCTGTGTGCCAGGTTAGATGCAGCCAGGGGCAAAGCACCAGCCAGGATTAAGAACATAGAACCAAATCATTACATAGAAGCAATAGTCAGGGCTAGGGGCGACAGACCAGGACACCGATCCTGGAAGTCAGAACATGGACTGAGGGCTGCTGGATCAGCTGCCAGAGAGCCACTTCAAGGAACTCCAAACTGAGTCCTGAGCCTTAGGTGGTGGTCCAGAAGCAAAAGAGCAGAGGAATCAGGGCAGCCACAGTGAGGCAGGATCACGGGGCTGCGGGACATGCAGAGTCCAGGGTCCTAGGAAGGGGAAGAGGGTGCAGCATCTGGATGTCACCACTCAAGAAGTGATCCCAGTGCCCAGCCAGTTACAAAGCTTGGTACTTGCTGACGTCTGGCTTCCAGTCACACAGCAGAAGACAAGAGGGAAACAGGCAGCAGGCAGAATAAGCATGAAGATGAAGTCAGTGTGGGGCTTGAGAGGTCCGGTGCCCTGCTTGAACAGTTTTGTTAAGCGCTGTGAGAGGCCTGTGGCATTTGCTTCTCTGTTTTGTTTTGTCTTCAAGTGTTCGAACGAAGCGGTATTTGCTGCGGACTTCCACCCCACAGACACCAACATCATAGTCACCTGTGGGAAGTCACACCTCTACTTCTGGACCCTGGAGGGAAATTCCCTTAACAAGAAGCAAGGGTTGTTTGAGGTAAATTGCACCTGCCGTTCAGTTTTCCCGCGTGGCACCTGTGAGGGGCTGGGTTATAAGGGAGCACTGAGATACTTCAGTCTTAGTGATTATTTTAGTGATAAGTATGAGGGCGTATTAAAAAATGATGCTCCCTTGATGCTTCCCCGTACAGTTGGGAAGTCCTCCTGTTTTGAGGATCTCCCCTGCAATAAAATGGAAATGGAGACCCAGGCCTCCTCGAGGGGCAGCTAGCTGCAAGGAGCCTGCGTACAGGCACTGGTTGCTAGGGACTGGCAACCTGGCATTGCTAAGGGTGCCAGGGGTCCTGTCCATCATTCTGAAAGCCTGGCGGCATAGCCCATCCCTCATGTGCCCCTTAACGCCACCCCGCTTAAACAGCAGCTTTAGGCTTCCCCAGCCATGGAGTTGCCCGACATTTCTTTCTCTTGAGCAAGAAATCTGGAAAGACATGTCTCCTGACAGTACTTAAACCTAAAAGCTCCGGACTCCAGCGGCTGACCATCTAGCTGGGATTTATGGGGCTCTAACTTATCAACACAAATAAAAGGGTGTCTTTGGTAAATAACACGCCTGTGCTTACTTATTACGTTCCACAGAAACAAGAGAAGCCAAAGTTTGTCCTTTGCGTGACGTTTTCTGAAAACGGCGATACCATTACTGGAGATTCAAGTGGCAACATATTGGTGTGGGGAAAAGGTAATGAACACTTCTCCAAAAGCCATCTGATGTTTTTGGTAACGCGGTAACTAAGACATCGGAGGTGGGGTTTATAGAAATGAGCTGTTGGAATTACGTACAGGACGACTGCTAAGTTCCCAGTCACATAAGTATATTTGTGTGTGTGGCTTTAACGAAAGCATAAAGCAGAAGCAAACTGGGGGATGTCGAGAGTCACTAATTTTGTCTATATCATTGTGAAAGGCTTTTAAGGTTAGGATACTATGATAAAGTTAATCACGTTGCTGGAAGAGCAGTTAATAAATTATAACCCAGAAGTTATTAATGACTATACAGCTGTGACATATATGGGTCACTATTCTGATCCAGATAGCATTTGACAGATGTTTCTGGAGAGCTAGGAGCGACAGTACAGAAAATAGCACATGCGCAGGTCAGCTCAGATGTGACGCATGCGCACAGGTCAGCTCAGACAATGACACATGCACACAGGTCAGACCTAAATTCCCTTACAGTTAGAAAATGGAGAACCTCAGTCAGAGAAGAGGTGTCAGATAAGTCCAGTGAGAATTCATGAGCATCTTCTGGGTTTAGGAAGATACATCCACCTGTCTTTCTGGGTCTCAGAGTTGGGTCTGAGAAAGAAGGGCAACCTAGACCGCCCAATGTTACTTCAGAAGAGGAAGGTGATTTTTGTATTCCTTCTTTTCTTGGCACCTAGTGTAGCAATGCTCATTTGATTTTTAGAAGAACTCTAAAAGGTCAGCAGTAGCCACATTCTGGAAAGTGGGGAGCTGAGAGGAACAGCTAACTTGTCCAGGGACGTAGCCCACTGGGGAGAAGGCAGAGTGCACACGCAGAGTCCGTGTTCTCTGCCACACAACTCTGTGACACCATACTTTTCCCCATCATCAGATGATCCAGTTCATGCTGGGACTCTGAGAGCATCAAAAATTTAAGTCTTTCCTAGGAACATATTAAAATGATGTCATAACTTACCACAACAACTTTAAACAAACTGAAATGGGTCTATGGCAGTGATCAGAGGCTAGCCTTTTGATTCTGCCCTAGATAATGGCTTTCGTGGCATGTTTAGGTACAAATCGGATAAGCTATGCAGTTCAAGGGGCCCACGAGGGTGGCATTTTTGCACTTTGTATGTTGAGAGACGGAACGCTGGTGTCCGGAGGAGGGAAGGACCGGCGACTCATTTCCTGGAACGGAAACTATCAAAAACTTCACAAAGCAGAGGTAAGCCAGCCACAGAGAAGACCTTGTACCTATGCGTCTGATGCCTTTACTGGCAATTTGGATCAACTCAGAGTTGTGAGGGGAAAAAAATAGATGAATTTTATGAACAGCAACAATCATAGAGGCAGTTTGCTTACAAGTAAAATAAAAGGATTTGAAGCTACCCAGCACTTCCCGTTTGGAACGTTGTTTTAATAGAGGCAGTCTTCCTTTCCGAAGGGCCCCTTATGGACGGTTGGATTTATCACTAGAACCTCTCTTTGTCTAATCCCAAGTATGCTGCATTCATACAGCGTCACTGTGAACCGGATGTATGGGGCACCTGCCTTATTCACGGTTCTCAGCTGCGGGGTGGCATGCTTCCCAGCACTTCCTGTCCTTTGTGGTTCGTTTCAACACCTAAGACCTAGTCGTCCTGTATTCCCACAGGAGCCAGAAGCGAGAAACCTGGCACCCTGAGGTTTTCCCCTCTAGCTCCCCGGTATGAGCAGGCAGGCTGGGAAACTGGCACCAGTGTGGGGCAGTACTCCATCCCTAACAGGAGACAACATGTAGGATTTCTCCAGCTTCTGAGTCTCGCTCTGCCTGTTCCTGGCGATGTTTAGGGCAGTATGAAGTTTCGGTTCTTCTGGTTACTCGGGAGAGAAAGGCCTTTATCTGAGTATTAGCAGCCCCCTTCCCTTTCTGTGATGATTTGGTATTCCGTCTTAATTTATATATTTGTGTGTGAGCGTGTACGTGCATGGTATGTGTACATGTGTGCGCATGCCCGTGCACACTCACGTCCATACTTGTGGAGGCTAGATGAGGATGTCAGGTGTCTGCTTCGACACTCTCCTCCTTAGTCTCTTGAGACAGGGTCTCTCAGTGAACCTGGAGCCAGGCTGGCAGCCAGCTAGCCCCAGCTATCCTCCTGTCTCCACTTACACCTGTGCTGGGGCCATAGGTGTTAGAGATCTGCGCCCAGGTCCTAGCGCTTGCACAGTGTGGCCTCTTACCCACAGAGTATCTCCCCAACTGCTCCTGAAGACCTTAATCTTTCTAACTTTTTTTTCTTGCTAAGGATGACCTTAAACTCATTGTGTAGCCCAGGCTAGCCTCAAACTCATAGTGATATTCTTGTTCAGTCTTCTGAGTTCCGAATATATTTGTTAAAACATCATGGGTATATTTTAAAGATAAACAGTTTTTATTTCCATCTATGTCTCAGTAAGACCCAACACATTAGAGGCAGAGGCTGAGGCTGGAGGATCTCTGTGGGTTCAAGGTCAGCCTGATCTACATAGAGAGTTCCAGGTCAGCCAGGGCTACGTAGAGAGACCCCCATCTCCAAACAAAGAACAAAACAAAAGAATAAAAAGGAGGTGAAGAAGGAATGAATACAGGCTGGACTGTTGGCTCAGAGGTTAAGAGCAGTTTCTGCTCTCGAAGAAGACCCAGGTTGAGTTCCCAGCACCTGCGTGGCAGCTCATAACCATCTGTTGCTCCAGTTAGAGAGAACCCGATAGTCTCTTCTGGCTTCCAAAGACACTGTGTACATTTGGTGAACATATATACATGCAGACAAACACATACACACACACACATACATACAAATAATACATATATATATATAATAATAAATGCATCTTTGCATAAAAAGAAGAAAAGAATATGTAGGCAGTTGTCATGCGAGGTTGAAGCGAGAGAAAGCATTTTATAAGTAACAAGGTGATGTGTTTTGTCAACAGGGAAATTCCTCCTTACATTGTATATAACACACTGTATCGGAGGATGAGAGAAGATTTATATATTAATGACAGTACTGACTAATCTGGAGATTGGAAAGGTCTAAGAATGCATCGTGGGGAAGGCCTGCCTGGCTTGTCATTGGCAAGGGAATTTGGAAGACCTGGGAAAGACATCTATTTTAAGCCTTAATTGAGCAGTGTCCTGAGCCCTGTGGGGTGGGGCACCCACATTTCTCTGAGAAGCTCTTCCTTTGTCTGTCTGACTGAGCTGTTGGGTGTGGTTCCTTCCTCTGCTTTACTGTAAGCGTCCATCAGTTAACCTGATGATGAAACCGTGCCTGAAGATGACCATCAGGTTTCCTGGACTCTGTACCTTCTGTACATAAGTTCTTGTATATGCCTGAACAATCTCTGGCAAATCAGTGTGGACCCTGTTTCAGTTTGTTTGATTGTTTTTTGTTTTTCGAGACAGGGTTTCTCTGTGTAGCTGTCCTGGAATTCACTCTGTAGACCAGGCTGTCTTCAAACTCAGAAATCTTCCTACCTCTGCCTCCAGAAGTGCTGGGATTAAAGACCAAGTCTACCCAGACGTCGCCACGTATCTGCGTTAGACGCTGCTTTTCTAAGTCTTCCCTTCCAATTCTTTGTTTCCAGTTCTTTATGATGGGCACATGTTTTTTTTCTGTTCCTGCTTTCTTTTCCCTTTGATCATCATCTGTACCCCAGTGTCGATAAGCAGCCCCCTTCTCCTGACATTTGAAGTCTTTGATCACATGCATGCTGTCCCACGCCCCTGGGCATCTCAGAGGACAGTAAGGCCGAGGGACCAGGACAGAACATGAAATATGCCAAGTTAAATTCTGTAACAACCGCACTGGACAACTGTGACTTTCTTATAAGATTTGCTCAGCATTTGGGGGAATGTGCTGTACATTGCTAGTCCTCGGGTGTTCTTATCATTGGGAAGACAGTATCAGAACCTCTTCTGGTACCCTAGATGACGTCATTCACCACACAGCTTTTCCGCCTCACAGACTGTCATTCCTTTCCTCCTTCGTAACTTTTATTTTCTTCTTTTTTTTTAAAAAAGCTACTTTTGAATTTGTGTTTGTATGTTTATGTGTGTGAGTGCACATGCGAATATGTGTGCATGAGTGTGGAAGTGTTTGGTGCCATCCTTCAGGAGCTGTCCACTTCATTCTTTGGGACCACATCTCACAGAGCTGTGGAGCTTACTCATTCAGCCGGGCTGCTGACTATGAGCCCCTGGGATCCGCCCACTTCCTTCTGTAAACTCAAGTTTACAGAAGGAGTGCAAGCCCTTGCTACCATGTCGGGATTTTTTATTTGGTTTGTTTGGTTTAGTTTGGTTGGTTGGTTCGTTTTTGTTTTGTTGGTTTTTGTGTGTGTGTGTGTGTGTGTGTGTGTGTGTGTGTTTTGAGTCAGGGTCTCTCTTTGTGTACTCCTGGCTGTCCTGGAACTCACTCTGTAGAGCAGGCTGGCGTCAAGCTCAGAGATCTGTCTCTGCCTCCTGAGTGCTGGAATGAAAGGCCTGCTCTACCAGCACCCGGTCACATCTGGCTTTTTTCTTGGGTTCCAGAGACCAAACTCTGATCCCTGAGCTTGCACGGCAAGCATTTAACAGTGTGAGCTATCTCCCAAGTCCGTCTCCACTTTCTGTGACGTAGAATCTACTCTGTAGCCCAGACCAGCCTCAGACTCCCAGAACTTGCAGCTCAGCTTCCTAAGGACTAGGAGGAGTTCAGGCATGTGCCAGCTTAGCACACCAGCTCACACCAGCTCACCAGCTCACACCGGCTCACCAGCACACCAGCTCACCAGC